CAAGTAACAATGTACCTTGATTGTTCTTGACAACTCTGTTAAAAGAAATACAATATTAAAGCTTCAATTTTTTCTGTGTGCAAACTGATCCTTGAAACTGATCCTTGAAGCTGTCATTAGTGCTCCAAATTGGATTCCCAAGAAATTCATCAAGGTTAGCAAGACTACAATTTCCTATTTACATTGCAAACTAATATTTTTGGATATGCTAAAGTTTTTGGTCAGTATGTAGACCCCATAAAAAGAATTGTTCTTTTAAAGGTCCTCAGGATGAGCATATGTTTTGTCTGTTCACTGGTTTACTGAAAAAGAAAAGGAAGTTCAGCAATAGAGATTGAATTTTGCTAGTGAACATGTGACAAGTTATACAAATACCCTTCTGGGCCTTCTAGTACATTTTCCTCTACAGAAAATACTTGTTAAATCATGTCCTTAGTTCTATCACACTCTGATATGTATTTTGATGTTTATCTTCTCTAGCACTGAGGCGTTATGTTTTCAGCTGATGTACATTCAGTTACTTAGCAATAGCATTTAATGTCTTCTATATTAATAGGATTGTTGGAAAGTGTGAACAGTCCTTTGACAGAGCTATTAAGTCAGCCCTGGAAGCTACAGCTATTTTTATACATGAGAGATAAACAGAGAGAAGTTTAATATTGATACTGAAAATTTTATTCTGATCCGTAGCACTTTGTGATCTATGGCACAGCCTTAGGGCATGAGCTCAACAAGATCAAGCTGATCTCAGAAAATTGGGTAACTTCTTGCTCAGTTCAGGATTTTGCCCATATATTAACTTCTTACAGTTTTGTGCATGTGTGTAAGTGTACCAATGTTTTAAGTTTTTGTTGCAGATAATTTTCAATTTCTCTCTTTTTGACAGCAGGAGAAAAATTTTCAAGGTGCAGGACTGTAAGATTATTAAAAAGCCTCAAGTCTTATTCTTGGCAATGAAATGAAATTAAAAGTAAACACTACTGACATATTCATCAGTTTGATTTGTTCTCTAAGATTTTATAGAGCAGCAGAAAGGCTTCAACAGCATTTGCTTATTTAATAATGCGGCTGTTTTTGAAAACACAGCACAGAGAGTTATCAAAAATGACCAACCAAAAATCGAGACATGTTCCAAAACACAGTCAAGAGAATCAACAAGGATGATTTCTGCTTTCTGCCCTTCTTCTTGTCTCCTGGGATCATCTGCCTGCCATCATCATCAGGTTTATCTGATCTTCTAGGTCTACTAGACATTGAATGCACTTTGTTACCAATGTATTGGAGATTCTGGTCAGTAGGGTGATGACAACATCTATGGGTACTGAATAGAGGAAAACTTACACTGAATGCCTTTTTGAAGGAAGTGGGATAACAGTAAGGCGGCTCATCCTGTGTTGTAGCAGGTGTTGGCAAGATTAGTACAGTTAGGAATATATTCAATTAGGCATATTACATTGTATCATTTGATACAGAGCCAGAGGAAGAGATGTTCTTCTCTGTTACAATACAGTAGAAACTGTGTAACACTTTCAGCAATTTCCTTTGCAAGAAAAAAAAAAAGTGAAAAAGTAGTTACAGTATTTCCACTGGCCTCAGTTCAGGATGGAAATAAAGAAAATTAGTATCACCTCCTTTGCAGGGTCAGTGCAGAATGCTTTTTGGCATTCTAGCAAGAGCAGTTTGGTTGCCAGGAGACAATAAGTTAATTTAGGAAGGTAATGCCCTCCAGGCAAGTAATGCCAACATTCTAGATCAGAGTAAAATCTAATGCTGTGTAGCCAGAAGACTGCCTTTTAAAAGGATTTACCTCTCTACCTTACTGATAATAAACAAACTGTGCTGCTGCATTGTCTGTTGCTGACAGAACAAAATCCTGAACAGTAAAATCTGAGGATGCTATTAGGTAATCAACATAAAAATAATGCCGCAGCAAGCTCATCTAGGTTAAGCCATCTGCTAACTATGCTGGTACATATGTCACATGACAGACTGCCAAAACTATTTTTCATGATCTTAAAATACAAGGGAGACCAATGAAATGTTACAAGGACAAACTGAAAAAAAGTTCACAATTAATGTGTGGCATTAATTTCACCATATGGGACATGGCAACTAAAGGATACTAAACATTTGGGATACTAAACATTTACTGATGCTGTTAAAGTCTATACACAAAACCATACTGACACCTCATAGGGGAAGTAGCAGCAGAACAATGTAAGGAGTAACCAGAAGCTGTATCACTGGTGGTGGTGCCAACTATAGCAGTACAGAAGCATTTCTCTTCAGTCTAGCTGCAAAACTGAACCTTCATATATTCAAGCTCAGGATTGTCAGAGTCATGGAGAACTCATCTAATATGAATATTTGAGACAGGAATTACTCATGAAATTGTTTGAGCTTTTCTTGGTGGAGGTGGGATTCATAATTGTAGGGATTGGTCTGAACTGAAAGTCTTTTGATTATTTGAGATTTATTATGAGAATGGGTAAATAGGCAAATGGATTGCAGTGGTCAGCACATAGTGAACTCTGACATTGAACAGTTTTGACAGAGTTCAGAAGAGTTTTGCAATCAGTGACTCATGCAGTCCCTGAGAAAGTTCAAGTAAGTTAAGTCAATAAAATCTACCTGTCTGCTAAAATGATTGTAAACTGACAGTGGAATTATAGTATTTGCAGAGAAAAAAATAGTGAGGCCTCAGAGGAGAACTGCAACTTTTATTTGAACATTAGAGAAAATGTCTTATAATGGTATAATTAAAGATTATAAGATAACTGAGAGGCGACTTGATTATGGTACATAAGTTCCAGGAAAATATCATCAGATAGTAATATTCTCTTTCAGTCTAAAAAAATTACACCACAAACCCCAGCATCTGGGAATAAAAACCAAGCAAACCTGTAATCAGATGTAGAATCAGATTTTTGTCAGTGTGGGTGATAAACTTTTGCAATTAAGTGGGTGCTTTATGAAGTATGATACTTTGTGAAACACGCGTTATAGGGCTTGCTAGAGAAGTAATAGGGTTTGTTAGAGATGTAGATGGAATGGCTTAGCCTGTGATGTCCAGAGGAGCGTGATCAGATTACTTGTGGTCTCTGAACACTACACCATCAAATATTTTTAAAGGTGTTTTAAAGGTGTTTAAGCTTCAGTTGAAAAATTATCATGGTCCTCACATCCAGAAAGATTGAAAATGATCTGACAGAATGCTAAACTAAAGGAAGCCAAATTCATAGTGAGGTAATATCTTTCGTTAAAAATGGGAAAGTACAGTTATATCTATACATCATAATTTTAATGTAAATATAAATAAATAAATACATATAATAATAAATAAATAAATACATATAAATAAAATACCTATTTTAATTTCAAAATCTTGAAGTCTGAATCTAGTAATTACATTCTCATTCTTAAAATTATGGAAATTTTCACAAATAATGTGTCAATTTTCAACATTAATTATGATGTAGTTTTTTAAGCTTCTGTTCTAAGGTACATATTATGTTTCAAACACATTTAAATAAATAAGAAAACATTAAATTTATATTTATAATAGACTTGTGAGTTTTCAACTTCTGATTTTTGAACTGGTGTGACCATGGTGGCTATTCCTACATGAAAAAGAATAAATTTATCGTTGTTATTAAACTGTCTTATTCCAGCTAAGGCTTTTAACCTAGACATTACAAGTTCAAGACAAAGATTGCCACAGCAGCTAAATTGACAGCTTTGATAGGTGGAGTTTGATAGATAGCAATGAAGTTATGCAATGATGCTCTTTCTTCTGCTGGATGAAACAGGACATGGGACTGTCCAGAATTACTTCCTGTATGAACTGGGGGGTGTGGGGAAATGTGAGATCCAATTATGAAGGTGGACTACAGCCTACACAAAATACAATGTATTTTCCAGCATTTCTTTATGGTGTGTGCATCACCATTTTGGGGCCCAGACAGACGAATTATTTTACCACAGGCACCCAACCAGAGCGTTGCAGTGTCAGATGACACTGAGGCCTGCCCACAAGCATTGCTTGGATTTCATTTTGATCGTGAATGTATGTGTTGTGTGACCACGAGAGTTGGGGGCCCACAAGACCTTTAGATCTTTAGAATTAAGAGTCTAATACCTTTTACATTCCCTATCAAACTAAAACCAATTTCCTTAACTTCAACTGTGGAGTCTCCCCACAAAACATGATTGAATATACAAGCACCTATTGTCCATGTTCTACCAGAAGAGAGAAAACTTAGGAGAGCTGACAGAAGTGGCTAAGCTTACATGAAACTCTTATATTAGAGCAGCAGTTGATGGTGGACTTGAGGGCAGCTTGCAAAGGATTTTGTTATGAAATCGGGCTTGTCCTTATTTAGAGGGGGGGCTTTTAAGTCAAGAAAGGGAAACCACATGGCAAGTGGTGCTAAAAATTGTGCCCTTTCTGAAACAGTCTAATCCCAGGCTGCCAGTGCAGTCTCTTGGCTGGCTCAGCTGTCATCAACTCTCACACTTGAATGGAAGCCCAGGACTTTTAATATTGTAACAAAATACTCATGATGTTCTGATCTTAAACGGATATTAACTAAACCTCCTCCACTCCATTTTTCATCTCCTTCCTTTCCACTTTCTATCTTCATTATTTTTCCAAATGTTATGGTTCTTACAGGCCATATGGTTCATACTTGTAGGTGTAATGCCAAAGATAATTTTTCCCTGTGTTTTTTAGTACATTTTAGAACATTTTCATAATGTTAAATAAACTTAATAGGGCATAATTCCATCTTCCCTTTGAAGTCACTTTAGAGCATCTAAATGTAGGATTTGTTTGGCCTTCCCTTCCCTTTTGGGTATTATATCCATAGTAATTTTTACTTTCTAAAGTAAAAATTACCTCTCTTTTTCTCAAAAAAAAAAAAAAGTTTGAACATTCAGAACTGCTATTTTTAATTTTTTTTTATTATTTAAAATGATTAATTCATATATATATGAGCAGATTAACAAGACCAAACTCACCTCAAGTGTAAGTGTTCTCTAGTTATTATTGGAGATTTTGTTCTCTACTTGTACTGGAGCAGAATTACTTGCCTTATCCTCTGTGCTGGGCTAAAATCTGTTGCCCCTAAAATTATAAGGTTACATTTTGCTTCAATGGAGGCAGGATATCATTCATTAATTACTGAAAATGAAATATAAAACTAAGATTTTCCTTAGGAATATAGCACCCACCAAAATCCTGCCATGGAAATTAGGAGGCAGAACAAACCCAGAACATAAAAGAAGATGTGGGTACTAGGAGGTATTAGAGGGAAATTCTCTCCTCCACTCTAATATTGAATGATAATTTACAAAAAAGAGAAGAAATTGGTCTTTTCCTGTTAATGTGTAAATTGTTAATGAAAAGCCATATAAAATAATTAAAAAATCTATAGAAGCTTGAATATCCAAAGCAATTTTGTTAGTAATACCTGAGTCATGTTCTGTGGAGTATGAGAGTAGTTTTGCAATGGGAATGGTAATTTTTGATGAGATGAAGTTGCCAGTAGGACAGTAACAAATCCTTGTAGAAGAGATTATTTCACTGTGATTTGCTAAATTTCACTCCCTTGACATGTCAGGATTTAAATTGCAACTTGACATAATTTTGTTCAAGTACTATCCAATATATTTAAATTAATAAAGAGCTAGTTGGATCTTGGCCTTTCAGAAGAAAATAAATATCACTAGCTACAATGCTTTAAACAGTGAATCAAGGCTTCCTTAGATACATGAAATAATATTAATTACCATTCCTTATTTTTTACATCTGCCTGATATAACAATTGTGTTTTAAACAAGAGGAGGGTAGATAATATATAATATATATACCTGTTAGTATATTAAGATGGATATTGTTTTAGGTAGCAACGAATAATTTTTTTATCATATTTAAAGACACTGCTCTTGCTTTTCTTATTTATTCTTTTCAAAGTACAAGTAGAAAATTTAAGAGAAAAATCAGCTTGTTTTTGGCTTCCACAGAAAGCTGTTTATTTTCCCTCATGCTGTGCTGGGAATGCAGCTTGCTTTTGCCAGACAATGCCAGACTTCCAAACAAACAAACAAACAAAATTATAATTCTTATTTAAATTTGATACAGTTTCCAGTGTTGTTATTCAAGACACATTTAGAAATATTGCTGACCTCAGTGTAAGACTTGTACAGCCTGAGAGTACTTCGGTCCAAATGTCAGCTGATACAGGGAAATTTTGTAAGCCTGACAAGTGTAGGATGTAGGGAAATTCCTGATCCCCAAATTCCAGCCTGATTATGGAACCATTAGTTTTACAACAGCCAAGCAGCCACAATAGCAATGGGTGATCTCTTGATTTATATTGGAATTCTCTGCCAATGGTTGCAGCATTTGGAATTATTTGTTCATTAAATTTCTCTGATGTCTCCTTGGAGAGACATTGAAAATGAACACAATCTTTAAGCTTTAAGCAAAAATTTTACTTTGGGTTCTACTCGATTTTTGTACTTAGAGGTATCACGAAAATTGTAATGTATAAAGAATAAAAATAGAGAAGCCAATGATATTCTTCAATGATAATTATTGAGATCCTTACATACATAAAGAAAAATAAGTGATTAAGTTTAGTAGAGGAACTGAAGACATTGTGCTGTCAACTGCAGTTTATCAAAACTGGTGTGCAGTGGATAGCTCTTTTGAAATTTTTTTGGTTTTTGTCATGGAACTCTCGGCAGCAGGTCGGAAACAGCAACACTTTGGGTCTACAGCACAAAACGTGATTGTAAATTGTAAATTGTAAATTGTAAATTGTAAATTGTAAATTGTAAATTGTAAATTGTAAATTGCATTAGGTATTATGACAAAGGCAAAATGCCCATCAATCACACAAACACACACAAACATATATTTATCCCACTGTTCTCTCAGGTTTACAGGGATAGGTAGGGATACAGGTGCTGTATGAGCAGGATTAACTCACAGGAATATCAGACATTAGGCCTTATTTCATCTCATTTCTTGGGTGCCTAAGGGAGCCATGTTAGTATAATGAGGGCAAAGATAATTTTAATGTGCTTAAGTATCTCCATTCCAGAAGAATCTATTTGGTTTTATTACAGATACAGTATGCAATTTAGTTGATAATAGCAGCATTGAGCCTTGAAATTAAGCCACACAGGTAAGGAAGGGCTGTGTGGCAAAATGCGTTTCATGTCTGTAATTACAGACTTCAAAAATCCTCTCTTCCTTTGAAATCTCTTAAAGATTGCCATCTAAAGGGAAATTTCTATAACTGAGTTGAATACTGGATATTTTCAAAATTCATGTGGGAGAATCACAGTAACGTGAGAAATAGTAACTCTAAGATTGTTACAGTTGTAATTATTTTGCAAGAATCACCTGTTTCCCCAGGAAGGCAGCAGTGATCATGATGCATCCTCTTGAAAGGTATCCAAATGTTTCACAGTGCATATCACCTGCAGCTCAAGGTCTAATTACTCATTTTCACTATCTTCTTGTCATAGCATTTCTGTTTTGCAGAAGGCTGAAGATGATTCCTGGAGGAATTGTCTTCCAGTCATGTTAGCATCCATTCACACAGCTGCTTAAAAGGATTTTAACAGGAGATGCTTATTCACTAGGATGCCTCAACAACTTGATTCTGCAAAATGTACCCATATTAAAATCTTCATGCACATGAGTGGCTTCACTTGAACAGTGACTATCATTCAACAGATACAGAGCTAAGTTCAGGACTCTGAAACTTTTTAGTCCTATAAAGTTGATAGTTATTTCTCTGGTGTTGGTATGTATGACTTCAGGGTGGTTGAAGAGAAGCAAAGCTTAAATCTAGGCTTTCAAAGCTTATTTCCATAGATCCTTAATTCTTTCAAATATAAAAATCAACAAAATATTTCCTTATGTGTTTTGATGTTGGAATGTCATATTTTCCTCCAGTCATTACATGTGGCCTTGTGCCCATACTGTAAGACTGCAGTACATTAATCAGGAGTGTAGTGTGACATCTTGGAGAAGCAGTAGGAAGGAATCAGCTGCCTCCTGCCCACTCCTTCAGTGAAAGTGTTCTGAAGCCCCATACAGTATTTAATTTCTATTTATGTATTCCCTCACTTGACTGGGAAGTTGCTCTTAGATCTGTGGGAGGAAACATACATTTTGTGACATACACATATTTGAGAAAAGCCATGAGTCTCTATTATTCTGTATACTGAGTGTAGACACAACCAGAAATGGGACTTAAATCCCATCCTGTAGCCTCAGGCCAATTCTTTTCAGGGATGTATATGTCAGAAACATGTGACAATAGGGAGTTGAGATGAAATGCTGTGTTACAGTTGTCTGTGTTATTCACTGTGAGTTTGGCTTGCAGTGTGTCTGTGCAGGCGCTTTAGTTGAGATGACAGTCATGGGAGTACAGCTGTTCTGCTTTGAGGGACTGCTCATCTGGAGAAGACAGATGCTCTGAGCTGGAGCAGAGCCTGAACTGTGAGCCCAGCTGGGTGCTAACTGGCTTCTTGCTGGTGGTCAAACATCTTCTCGAAGTCAGGCATACTGGGAGGTGCAGCACAGAGACACAAATGTCTGAATAAGCTCAGCCAGACTTCAGCTTGGAGTGTTAGCTGGAGTTCAGGGCTGGCCCTTGTAGACCTCCCAACAGAGCATTCCGTAGTGACAAACCTGAAGCTCAAAGAGGGACCAGAACAAAGTTTCCTTGAGGGAAAGGAGATGACAATGTCTTTTTGGGCACTTTGCTTTTTAGCTTAGTAATGATGTGTTAATGCTTGGAACAGGCTTGAAGCAGCACTGTAGCCCTAGTCAGGGTTCTGGGAAATAAAAAGCCATGATGTCCAAGTGAGACTGTGGCATATCTGGACTTGAGTGTTACTCATGCACATCTCTCCTATGTCCTGAGCTCCTGAAGCTACCCTGGCAACCCCCTATGTAACTAAAAAGTAAAAGATTCTTAAGGGGATGAGAATTCTACAGCAAACGAGGGAAAGGGTTTTCTGGTTTTATTGGTTTTGGATGAAGATGGAAGGTAGATTTTTTTTTTGGTAACAAAATTATTTTAGAATAAAAGATGTTTGTTCTTTTTAAGCACAGTATATTGCCTGAGAAAGCCAAGTTTGTTTCTGTGTAGAGGTTGTGTGGGAGATCTTTTCACTTATCCACTCATATTTAATGGCATTAGATATCCTTCAGACACAATTGTAATTGATTTATGTATTCTGGAGAATGTACCAGATGAGTAGTGAGGCTCTGTGGTATGTAGCTATTATGTATTTGCCTTGCTGCTTAGCTTGAGCACTGCCAAGGTTTATTTCAGAACTTTCAATAAATCCCTAGGGTATGTTATAAAAACTGCTATATGGACCCATTAGTAATTCCCAGACAATGTCCAATGAGGGATAAGCCTAGGATTTCTTAAAATGCTGCACAAAGGATTGAATGAAATATTGTAAAAAACATTTGGAATATTATCAAGAGCTTTATGATATAGACCATTTGGTGATACAGACTACTGACATCTTTCTTTTTCTCCTATGAAAAAGACATTTCCTATTTTCAGGTAATAATTAAATAGAATACGTACATTTGATCCTTTATTGTATGTTTAGAAGTGGCTGTGTAGTCTCCATCACTAGCAGGACTCCAGCAGATCCTTATCTCCCAGAAACAAAAGCATATAGCTCATACCTGATGTATGGTTTAGAAATTGAGGCATATTTCCCTGTAAAGTTCATTTTTTCCCATGAGTTAGCTACAGCTTCCTCATTATCTCCTGTTTCTATAACTTTTTTTACCTCTTTACTCTGTTTCTATTCCAGAGGATTTTTTGAGTATAACCTGTTGAGACCCTTTCCTCAGATTCAGAAACAGCTGCTTCACAAATTAGTAGTTGTCACAATTTTTACTGAGAAGATTTTGGACATCAAAAAAAGGCTGTCCCACTCATTGTTGACATGAAAACCATAGCATATTGCAATTAAAAATTTCCTCCTGTGGAAAATGCTGTCAGTGCAGCAGGTAGGCTATCAAGGAAAATTTGGCATATTAGGAATTTTGCCTGCTTTAATTGAGACTAGGCAAAGAAACTTTTGGCTTGAAGAGCAGGTGATGTGTAAGATATGATTTCTTCTTTTGTTTAAGGAAAAATCCCAATAGTCCATCAGTTCCCGACTAGTCTCAGAAAAAGGTCTAAGGGCTTCCATGTCTTCTGCAGTGAATTACATATTTGTGTTCAAATCGATTGGACATGAAGAAGGAAAAAAAACCCAACAAAACCATTTGTCAGAAATGTCAGTTTCTATTCAAGAAAACTTCATCACAGTTGTTACAATTCTATTACTCCCCTGCAAGCCAAATCAATCACAAGAGCTTGAAAAACCAATCAAATACACATTCTTAAAAAATTGTTCTTGTTTGAATTAGTCTTCAAGATCTTTCAAATCTTAAAGCCCATATAAGGATTTTTTCTAAATTTCTGTTCATGAGGCTTTCTTGTGTTAGATTTAAGTAGACTACTTACAATAGTCTTTTATTCTTGTAAATTACTACGAAGCCAGTCAGAGCCAGACAATATAATTAGTACTTCTTATTCCCTGGACAGTCCCAGTAAGACTGTCACTAACTTTGATAACTTCATGGAAAGTGACTCAGATACACTTCCAGATAATTTTCCACTGAAATTGGATGTGTAATTTCTATTATAAAATAAGGCAGACAATTAATGGCTCTGATTTATTAAAAATATTTAAACCTTTTTAATTCTTTCAGATAACTTTACAGAAATAATAACATGAAACTGAAGTGTAGAACTATAATTGCTTGATATCAATTATAAAATGGTTAATTTTTCACTAAGATGCTAATGTCAGCTTTAAGAAGCAGCTTAGGTAGGAGGCTGAGAAGAGAAAATTTGACCAATGCTCTGTCAGAGAACAGTGTGAAGACAGAAGGCAATGTCCCTTAGCAAAGGGACTTTGGCTAGGAATGCAGATGGGTTTCTTCCTTGAGACAGATACAGTGCTCATCATTGAAAGCTCTGCTGTTTTAGACATTTGTCTGCCTCAGGACATTAACAGTTTGGCATCTGCCAAAGCTCATCCATATGGTGAAATTTAACCACATAAGGATGGCATTCATGGAAGCACATGGCTCTTGTCCTCAACTGGCTTCTGGAAAATGAACAATGCGGTTTGTGGTTTTAGGGAAAAAAAATCTATATTTTCCTAGGAGTTAGATTTCCAAATATGTAGTATTTGGCTCTTAATCTACAGAGAATTTTCTGGAAAAGTCTAATGCTATTATTTCAAAAATTTAGCCTTATATTCAGGGATCCAATAAAGTTGTGATTCAGTGTTCTTGTCTGACACAGAGAGCTTGTGCCTAGGTCTAGAGTCTCCCTGGGGTTCAGTGCAAAGTTTCCTGGACTAGAATTTAAGTGAGCTAGCTCAAATGTGGGCTACCTATGAGTGTGGATCTTCTTGGTAAGTAAATTAAGCCCTCTGTATCGCAATTCTGCTCAAGATGGTGAACAAAAAGGTTAGATACTGATGTCAGAGCCATTAGGGACTTAAAAACGTATCAACAGGAAGACAAGGTTAAAATGAAAAACTTGGATCCCAAGAGTAATGACCATTCCTGAAAATGCAACCTCACATATCTGTGGTAGAAAGCAAGGTTGAAAAAAGCAGCCTGAGGCTGTAGAACAAGAGATTGTCCCCAAGAACCCACCAAAGGGAGGGGAAGCTGTTAAGAGAACTATTGTCTCAGATCTTAAAAACGGGGATTTTTATTTGCAGCTACAACAGAGGTTGTTTCTCTGTTCAAAAATTTTGCTGAAAACTCACTAGAAGATGAGAAAACTCACACTGTTTTGTTTCTTTCTTTCTGTCACTGGTGCTTCATGCTTAGCTGTCTACGGTGAAATTACTCAGGTACCTGCATATTGCTTTTTTATGGGACATCTTTGTGACAACTTCTTTGAGCACTAATCAAAGAATGTGGTATTTCAACATGTTTCTGTTCTTTATAGAACCACAGAGTCACTAAGGTTGGAAAAGACCTCCATGACTGGGTCGAACCATTAACCCAACACTATTGTGTTTATGATTAAACCATATACCCAGCTGTCACATCCACAAATCTTTTGGACATTTCCAGGGATGGTGATTCCATCAGTTCCCTGGGCAGCCTGTTTGAATGCTTGACCACTTTCAGTGAGGAAATTTTTCCTAATATTCAATCTTAACTTCTGCTGGAGCAACTTGAGGCCTTGTTTTTTCACTTGTTACCTGGGACAAGAGACCAACCCTGACCTTGCTACAACCTCCTTTCAAGTGGTTGTAGAGAACTATTAGCTTTAGGTTCCCCTTGAACCTCCTTTTCTCCAGACTGAACACCCACAACTCCCTCAGCCACTCACCATGAGACTTACGCTCCAGACCCTTCAGCAGCTCTCTTGCCCTTCTCTGAATTTGCTCAATGTCCTTCTTTAGTGAGGGGCCCAGAACTGGACACAGCAGTCGAGGTGCAGCCTCCCCAGTGCGGTTGTTGTGACCAAAGTGCAGGACCTGGCACTTGGCCTTTTTGAACCTTGTACCACTGGAGCTGAACTTTAAATCCAGCCTGTCCAGATCCCTCTGCAAAACCTACCTGCCCTCCAGCAGATCAACACTCCTGTGCAGCTTAGTGTCATCTGTGAACTGACTGAGGCTGCACTCTATTCCCTTGTCATTAACATCAATGAAGATGTTAACAGCACTGGCCCTGTGCCCTGGGAAGCCTGACTAGAGACTGGCCACCAGCTGGATGTAACTCCATTCACTCTCTGGGCCTGCCCATCCACACAGTTTTTCACAGAGTGAAGTGTGCATCTGTCCAAGCCATGAGCAGCCAGTTTCTCCAGGAGTCATTCTGTGGGAGACAGTATCAAAGGATTTGCTGAAGACTGGATAGACAAACGTCCACAGCCCTTCCCTCATCTAATAGGCAGGTCACCCTCCCATAGAAGGAGATCAGGTCTGTCAATCAGGACCTGCCATTCCTAATCCCTTGCTGTCTGGGCCTGATCCTCTGGTTGTGCTGTATGTGCAATATAGTGGCAGTCAAGATGATCTGTTTCACAGCCTTCCCTGGTACCAAGGTCAGGCTGATAGGCCTATAGTTCTCTGGCTCCTCCTTCTGAACCATCTTGTAGATGGGTGTCCCATTTACTAAATCCAGAAAATTGGGCCTCTCAGCCAGGACTGCTAACAGGTTAATTATGGAAAGTGGCCCCATGAGCACTTCCACCAGCTCCCTCAGTAGCTTTGGGTGGATCCTGTCTGTCCCCATGAGCTGGTGTGGGTCTAAGTGATGATATAGCAAATTGTTGACCAGTTCCCTTTGGATTATGGATTATGGGGACTTCATTGTGCTTCCTCTCCCTGTTTCTAGCTCTGGGGGCTGGGTACCCCAAGGACACATGATTCTACTGAAGCAAAGAAGACATTATTCATCAGCCATTTTCTCATCCTCTCACTGTGTTTCCTTCTTCATCCAGTAAAGGCTGGAGAGTGTCCTTAGCCCTCCTTGTGTTTCTGATTCATGGAAACATTTTTTCTTGTCTTTTGTGGCAGCAGACAAAGTTCTGGCTGAGCTTTGGCCCTTCTATTTTTTTCCCTGCATACTATCACAACATCCTTGAAGTCCTTCCAAGTTGCCTGCCCTTCTTCCAAAAGTGATACAAATGAATATTCCAACAAAAGAATAGACCAAACTTGCCACATCAACTATAATGCAAAGTCACTTGTTTAGGTCAGGCGGAAGTACCCTTCTCATAGCTAAGGAAAACAACTTCTGCTGTCTAGCCTTTATGGATGTTGTATTTTTTTTTGAGACAGTTCTTTCTAATAAGTATATATGTACCACTTCTGCTTCCTTCTTTGCTGGTAAGCCTACATAAATGTTTCTTATAGAGAAGATCCAGCTCTTCAGGATCTATAAGGAAGCATATTTTAAAAACGCATATATTAGCTTATCAAAGTTCTGAAAATATTATTGTTGATCTGAGGGACAAATTGGTTGGAGATGGCCAAGAATACCTTCATGTGTTACTGTAAATGATTTATGAACCCTGGGTTTTCATGGCATGTTAAAAATTCATATGAATATTACATTTAAAATTTAATTATCTGAACTAGCTGAAGCACTTCTTCAGGCTTGTAATTGGGCAGATATATAGCATTATACACAGTTGGGGAGACTTGGGACCTGTGTCCAGATGATCAGATGTAATATGTAGCCTACTCTCATTGACAAAGAATCAAAATTTGGTTCTTGAATTACTTGGTATCTCCCTTTAATCATCCAAATTCAGAATATGTCAATAACTTATGTTTATTATCAGCCCGATTTTGCAAAATTTCTTTAGACATATTTGGATTAGTAGAGAGAAACCACTTACTTAACTAGGAAGTACTACTAAATGTGAGAGATAATAGTGAAATCTGACCCTGCATCTGCTCTTTTCTATCTTTCTGGTTTTGGAAAAATTATAAAACAGTTACCTTGCACTTAATTGACTTTTTTATTCAAATCCCATATCTTTGTTGGGGCTGTATTCCTCTTAATTGACTAGAGTCATCTAAGCACATTATTGAAGCACACTAAACATGTGCTCCAATTTAAATTGTTGGCTTTTTAGCTGACAGTGTGAGGGAACACTGGAAGGCAGATCATCCCACCTTTTTAAGAGTGTGACAAACTGCCTTGTGCAGCTGCCTGTCTCTCTCTGTCTCCCTGCTATCCATATGGGAGTATAGACTGTTTGGTAGGTAAACACACCTGGTCAGACAAGGAGTTTTAGGTATCAAGTTACCAGAGATGAATCCATCAAAGATGTCTTTTTTTTTTCTTTTCTTATTTTTGGTTTGTTTTTTTTTTTTAAAGTTGAGAAATCAAACAGGGATCTATAAGGTCCTATTTTTTTGTACAATACAAAAATATTGGTAAGGAAACCGCTAAGGAAATATTCTCCTAGTATTCTCTTAAATTCCTAACAAAATAAAATTATTGACAATGTAAGTAAACAGAGAGATCCAATCATCATTTAAAAATTTAACAAGGTGGCAAATAAAATATTTTTATCTGTGCTTATGGGATTTAATTTGCTAAAATAACTTCTTTGAGATTCCTGGAATAAGAAAGCTAATAAACTGAAAAGCTTCAGTGTTGCCAAAAGAAGTAGGTCTTTAAGCATTTGGTTTGAAAATTTGTGTGAGCTGGAGGAAAACTCAAAGAGTTATATTGTCTTAATTGTATTTAAATTTGAAATCCTAGGAATACAGTCTTCTAAAACAGAGGTGTTATAGCCTTGAGAGATAAAGGAAAGATAAAGGATAATTAAACTAATTACAAATTAGTTTATTAGTTTAGTTTATTTAATTAATTTAGTTTATTTAATTAGTAAATTCAACAATTACAAATAAAGCTTTCTTGCATAAAAAAGAGAAAGCAATAACTGTTATGAGTAATGGAAATGTTTATATTTCAAGTGTTCTCTGCCAGACTTCATATAAAATACCAAATATTCAAAGATATTTAAGCTAATTTTTTATCTTACTCCAGATGGTAAAGAATTGCTCCTTATTGTAGAAGTGAGCATGACAAACACAAGTATGCACCTAAGTAGAAAGGAATGAGCCCAGTTCTGTAATATAAATTTATAGCTCTTGGCTTGATGGTCATTTAAGGCATCTCTTGCTAAGAAGGGGCTTGTGTAAGAGGAAGCTGCAGGTAAATGGAAATATCAGATACTGCACCTTAGTTCTCAGAGAAGATGCTGTGGTTGTCACAGGACTGGCAGTTCTCATCCTCTTGGCTGATGGATAATCCTGTGATTTTTGATGTTGTCTCCTCCAGGGAGCCTTGTTATCTCTGAAAGGAAATGTAACCAGCTATGAGCCTGTGCATTTACATCTCCTTTGAGGAAACACGGGCAATCAGTGAAGCAGCACAACACTGACATGTACTGATCAATCTTTCTGGCAGCAAGAATCAGCCTGCTAGGTGGAGCTTCCTTTCTGAAGACATCGTACAGGCTGCAGTGTTGATCAGAAGGGCCTCACTGTAGGTGAGAATCTTGTCTCTGTCTCTCCCTATCTTTCAATGTCCTAGTGGCAGCCTTGGACTAGGAGTGTACAGTCTGCTCTCTGGAGATCGGGGTTCTCCTGTCATAATGGTCACTAAGAGTGGAGAATGGTACATGAAGAACGTGCCTGCCACTGACCAACAAGTGGTCTGTGTTTCAGACCAATAGTTTTTCTCTAATAGGGGCAAATTATTTCAAAACTTTCCACCTCTCCTCCTCAGAGTAGACAAACAGATAACTATTGGTGAAATATAATGTTTTTTTTCTTCAGAGCCCTGAAAATTCTCAGTAGTAAAAGAGTAATAATAATAAACTTGTGAGGCTTGAGGTATGACAGAGAAATGAGTTTACTTTTCCCTGTGCACAGTCACTTCAGAAATACCTGCTGCTTGCACTGGGACCAGCCAGCCAGTCCTTTTAGAGTTAGGCCTATGCAGAGCAGAATCTAAAATTTGCATCAACCTTGAGTGATTCTTTGATCTTAACAGCTGTATGTTTTGAATGCATACTAGCATGAGCTCTGAAAGGGTTTGTTTATATGATCTTCCTCCATCAGAACACCACCATCTCACAAGATTCCTGAATAAGGTCATCAGTACTCATGGAAAGGTTTCATGTTTAAAAGGTGTGACACAACCTAGCTTTCCGCCATAATGCAGAATTCAGCTCCTGCATCCTAGCACAGTGGGTCTTTTGGGCTGGGGTGTCCACTAAACTGTTCTCCAGACTCAGATAAGAGGTTGAAATGTGAGAGCTGAGCTAAATAGACCAGGCAGAACCATGGGATTACTGACTGATCTATACCCCTTATACTACTCATCTGCTTGAAGAATGATTCAGACACTTAGATGATGAGTACGGGTTGAGAGTTTGTGTAGAACAGAAAAATGCAATTAAATGAACAAATGAGACAAATGTACAAAGCAAAAACATTTCATTTGTAACAATACCAAACAGAAACTAGGGAAAATGTCATGACTTTTGGAGAAGAGCACTGAAAAATTCTGATTAATGTTTGTTTCTATTATTAAAATATGATCTACATATAGATATAATATAAACCAAACCATGGACAAATACAAGTAAGACGAGAACTAGTAATGCTGCAAAATAGTATTAAGCTCCAACAAATTATATGTTTCCAAAAATATTTTAAGTTCATGTCTATATAGTACCAAGAATAGCCAGTCAAATTTCTAGTCAGTCTGATTTTAAGTATTTATCAAAGCAGCACAAGAGTCTCAAGGGGCACTTAATATTAGCAGCAAGTGCAAATTCGGGAACAGAGTGTGGTCTTGTGATTCTTATTCTGAATCAAGCAAAAAGAACACTTTTTTTTTTTTTAAAGTTTAGACTCATAAATCCTAACATCCCTATATTTTGCCATCTGATCTGCTTTCTGAACTCCAGTCTAAATAGGTCTCAGATTGACTTAAGTAATATCTAGATATTCACTCAAATGAAGACAGTAAGGTTGGGTTCAGTGGTCTAAGTCTAGATTTCAGTGCCATTTGTGATGACCCAAAGAATCCTGCCAGGCTTCCACACTTCTGCAGAAAAGCACAGGTTTTGTGCAATTCCTACATTGTATTTTCTGGTCGTGTGGGGATATTTCAGATGCCCAGTCCCCTCTCTGTATTCATCTAAGCTGAGATATCTTCATCTGTGAGGAAGTACTTGTAACTTAGGTTATATAACTAAACATACTTTCAAACAGATGGCTCAGCAGCATCCATTTGTCTGATGTAGTGGGAATTGTAAATGTTGTCCAAGTGCAGATATGTGGTTAGCAAGCTCTAAAATCTTTACTGTGGATGCAGAACTAGTGCACAGCTGTGTGCCAAGTGTGATTGGTAGCGGTTAAACTGGTAGAAGCCAAACAACTTACTGTGTGAGCATATCCAGAGAAGGTAAAGAAGTTCCCTTCTCCCTGGCCCTCTCAATGCCATAACATTCAGCATCCTGGTCCTTATCAGACATTTCCCTTCAGGTCTTCATTGCAATTCCTGTCAAAATACAGAGATGCCAACCCAAAGTCAACTCGTGCTCAAGAACATTTTACACAGCTTTTCTATGTAAGGATTTTGGGAGTACTGCATTTCCACCACATCTCTTTACTTCTTATGCCAGGTGCTTTCCCTGCCACTGGTCATTCTCTTGAGGCCTAAATGCTCCAAGTAAGATCAGCGGAAGAACGTGTTAATTTCTCCCTGCTGGTGACAACAGTATGCTTCCAAAGGAGAAATCTGAATATTCTTGGAAAATAAGCTGTATGGGTAAGTCTAAAATAGTTAACAATTTCAAAGTCTGCTAAAGTTCTGTTGTGTATTTTGGGTGATCTTAGTGGTATTAGGATCCTTCAGAGGCACAAGAAAAGTGAACCTACAGTTTTAGTGTACTAAAGAAGCTATATTTTCAAGATGAGAAGTGAAATTGAGAAAGACAGTTTGTTATTAAAAGTGAAAAGGTTTGTCAACAATTAAGTGAAAACCTCTGTTAAAGACCCAGCTGGAAATTACAGGCACCTCCCTTCAAAATGGAAATAGTTCCATAATATACAACCAGCATAGCAACTCAGAACTTACTGTCCCTGTGAGCGCAGTGAATCCCCTTGCTCAGCATTGGTCTGCTTGGGAAGTAAAGCTGAGGGAGCTAATGCTTGGAACAAGGATGAGAAATTTCCAGGTGAGGTAGTGTTCTTTTGTGCCAGGAAGTGCAACAGCCTGGACTAGCAGTTCAGAAGCTTTGTCACGATTTTCCCCAAGATTTTTCTCCTCTCTGAAGAAGGAAAAGGAAAATTATTAAAAAGTTTTAGATATGGAGATTAAGGTTCCCAGGACCTAATAATGGACATAATTCCTATCCAGAGCATAACCTAGGAGTGCTTTCACAACACCTGCACACCTGCAATTCTGTGGCCTGGGAGGGGGCACGGTGATTTAGGAGAGTAGATTGTGGGTAGTGTATGATATACAGTCTTTTATTCAGCCCCACAAAGACAAATGGTGAAGATTTGCTGATCTTTTAGTCAGATATCTGTCACAGCACTTGCTGGAGACCCTCTTTTGTGAACAACTTTTTTTCTGAGATGGCTTTTGAGAAGGATCTTTGAGGCATGGTCTCTAGAATGCTACATGATTGTTCTTCAGCACCCACTTCCACTTCCACTTGCACTTCTGAATCTGAGCTTCCTCTTGCTCAGAGGAGGGTGCAGAAAGATAGATTCTGGAATGAAGTGGTTGAGGTAGAAGTTTTTGGTGGGACTGATAAACATGGTTTGCCCATCCCAGCCCCCTGTGTGGAGACCCATAACAATAATTGTTCTTCCCATATCTTAAGAAGCTTCTACTTATTACTGAGTTAATTAATATGGGGTTGAGAAAAGGGCACATTTTTTACTAAGTCTGTTCTTCCAGACTGAGAGGATTCTGCAACTCTTCAACACATGTTCTTTGCTTGGATTTATTTTTAGTAATGCTTTCTTCCTTTTTTGGTTTTTTGTTTTTATTTCCAAATATCTTTTCATAAAACTAAATTAAAAAAGAAGGGAGAGGAAATCAGTTTGCAATGAAGCATATGACACTTCACTTTGTTACTTTAACGTAAAAATGGGCAAAGGTCCTGGAATATAATGGATCTATGAGCCATCTCTAAGAACTGCTTCCAAAAAAATTCCTTTCCATCAATCCATTTTTAAATACAAAGGAATAGAAGAAACATTTTCAGCGTTTCACTGGATTGAGTATGCAAAAAGAATACCATGGGAATAAGTTTAGAAATACTGAGAATTCAAATTCACACTCTTTGATGTTAACAGCTTTTCTTGCCAAGACAGAATATTTTCCTCTACTTAGGACAGAAATTCTCACTGTTACACATATGCAGCTAAAGTGAGAATTTTCCTAGTTCTGATGGAGGTTAGTCGAGAAGGTCTTACTGGAGCACATACATGTTTTCTGCTTCTTGGTGACCAGAAGAATTAAATTAGACTAATGTCCCTGCCACTTCCTCTTCCCTCCATGATATGGGCTGATGGACAAGAAAACAGAGCCCTCTGCTTTGGGACAAGATGAGCACTTTGGGCTATTTGGTCCTGAGAGTTATGGGATGTAGTTATGCATGGGAAGAATAGGAGCCCCAAGCAGTATGGAGAAAAGTCAGAGGACTCTACAGTCCCAGAAAAACAGTTTCTGCTCAGAGCTTAGGGTACCAGAGATCTGACATATTCACAGTAGTTCAGGTAGCTAGTTCAGCAGAGAAAGACAATATTTAGTCCTATTCTAAGCTCATCTTCCAGCTGAAGAAATGAAAAGATAAAAAAGATGCACGTGGTCTTGCTGTAGTGGATCTTGGTCTGCTGTCAATATGAGAAGACTGTGGACATGTCATCTTTCAATGCCACCCATGTGGCTGCTGCCAGCATGACTCATAGGCACTGCCTATTCATGGTGTGTGACCCATTCCATGGAGGGACTGATGGGATGCTCACTTATTGTATTTCTTCCTATCTGGTACAAGAGAGTTCCTTTAGCAACATTTGAAAACATTTGTTGATGGTTCTGTTTTTACAGTGTTTAAATGTTTCTTGTTCAATACACCAAAATCACATGAGAGCTGAATCACATTCACCCATCTCCTCCAAACTGTGTGTGGCGGTCTGCACAGTATGAGAAATTGATAGCAGTCATTGTATATTTCAAGCTCAGTAACTCAGGCATCAGAAGAGCCAACTGTATTTTTTTCAAATTCTAACTAGGTTTGTAATGCACCTGGTAAATGTCTACCCTTTCAGAAGAACAATTTCACTTCTGCTGAAATAAGCATTAAGAATACTAATGCAGGTCAAGTAGTTTATTTTTGATATGAGCAACACTGTACGTTGTTATAGGCAAACCCATAATGAATCTAAAATGAATAACGAGTAGTTGCCATTGTATAATTTAAGATTCTTTAAACAAAAGAGAAGGCAGTAAGAAAATCA